AAAAAAAAAAAAGGCATCAGCCCTGGAGCCTCAGAGCTTGCAAAGAGAGAGTTCCACGTTTTCTTCCCTTGTTCAGCAGCCCCTCCTTTCCTACCAGACAGGGGGCTTCCTGGCCACTGACACAGCTGGCTGCTCTTCCAGGGAAATGCCCACATGGTCTCCATGGCCCTCCCACTCTGGCCACATGCAGCTTTGCTTAATCACAGACATTTAGGACACTGTGGGTTAAAGAAAGTTAAACTGCTATCTTCACTGCAGAATCTTGCAGGCACCTTTGATAAGCTATGGCTCTCCCAGAAGGGCCTACCTTAGATTTAATTTCCCAAATATTTTTAGAAACAGAACTTGGGACATGGTGACCACACTGACCCTCGATCTAAAAATATCCACCTCCAAGGCCTGACGCCCCTCCCCCTGCCTCTGATCCTACCAGACTCCTGGGTGGCTTCCTGGCTCTTAAAACTGAAGGTTTCTCAACTGGGTCCTAACATCATCTCAACAGTCTCTTCTTTCCCCCACCCCAGCTTTATTGTGTCATGACTGAAAAAATATTGTATATATTTCAGATGCACAACTTTATTTTTTATGTGAGTGCATCTCGTGTGATGGTTTCTATGATCAAGCTAGTCATATCTGTCACCTCCTAGACAGTCATGCATTGATAGGGATTGCATTGGATTTGTGTCACTTTGGGTAGAATGGACATTTTAACAATATTAATTCTTCTGATTCACAAATACATTTACTTTTGTCTTCTTCAATTTCTTTCACCATTGTTTTATAATTTTCAGTGTAAAGGTCATTTGACTCCTTGGTTAAATTTATTCCCAGTATGACATTCGTTTTGATGTTATTATAAATGGAATTGTTTTCTTTATTTCTTTTTCAAATAGTCTGTGGTTACTACAGAAATGCAGCTGCTTTTTGTATGTTGGTTTTATATCCTAAAACTTTCCTGAATTCACTTACTAGCTTTTAGTGGAGACTTTAGAAATTTCTATGTGTAAGATCACGTCTCTGCAAACAGAGACAATTTTGCTTTTTCCTTTCCAATTTGGATGCCCATTACTTCTTTTTCACTCTAGCTAATTGCTCTGGCTAGGACTTCCAGGATTATGTTGAATAGAGTAGGTCTTATTCCTGATCTTGGAAATGTTTTCAGCTTGTCATCATTGAATATGATGTTAGCTATGGGTTTTTCATATATGTCCTTTCTTCTTCTCATCATTATTACTCTGTCGCAGTACATTCCTTTAATACCTAATTCATTGAGAGTTTTTATCAAGAAAGGAAGTTGAATTTTGTCAAATGCTTTTTCTGCATCAAATGAGATGATCATAGAACTTTTAGCCTTCATTCTGTTAATTAATGTCTCATTTATTAATTTCCGTGTGTCGAACCATCCTGGCGTCCCAGGAAGTAATGATTTCTTTTAAATATGATTTGGAACTAAAACTAGTTCCAACAACACATAAACTTTCTGAGAAAGAAACTGTCAGGGACAGTGATGGATCTTTTCATTATAGTTTCAAGCCTTAATAATCACAAGTCACATTTTCTTTAATGTGATCTTAGAATGAGACAATCAGAACACTAAGTCATGTGACTCCTATTTTAATATGCATTTGGTTCTTACCATTAGGTGTTGGACTCCTGAGCTTTAAATGCAGCTCGTCATTAAAAATCCTTCCACCCGCCAAGACAGTACTTCTCAGCCTCTACCATATCCATGTATTTACTGCTTAAACTATTTAGCTACTTAATGGAACAGTCACAATTTACATTTCTCCCTGCCTTATCAGCCAAGAAGCTCCCCCATTGCTCCAAATTCCCCTGCACGTTCTGCTTTGCTAGCAGAAATAGTGAGATTTTAGTCCCCAAACCTCCATGTCTGAGCCTGAAACCACATTCCTCTTCACCACTGTTGAGGAGCAATTTCCTACTCCTCTTAATAAAGTTTCTCTTGTTTTGCTCAGTAATTCATTCTCATTGAAGAAATATGGAAGATACAGAAAGAAGAAATAAAAATCACCCATAACCCCATGACTGAAGGAAAACCACTACTAATATCTGGGTTATTTCCACACACACTTTCTTAAAGAATAAAGAAATCTTTATCTTACTAACAGGAATCCGGCTGACAGTTCCTAGGTGTGCTTGAAAGTTTAAATCCACTAGCACTTAAGATTGCTTCTAGCAATATTCAACTCACACAACTTATTTCTTGCACATCAAATCTCTTCCAGAAGCAAGATTTCTAATTTTATACAGAAAGGGAGAGTTTTTTAAATGTTTGATCACGTGTTAATCACCTTTCCACGGGCTTCATGTACTTCTAGTCAGTATAGTCCCCACCCCCACCGCTATCTCCAGCCTCAGTGGATCAGCCCTGATCTCTTCATACCTCATTTCATGCTGCTCAGTCACATTGGTCAATTTAAATGACTGTCATTGAAAAACCATGTCAAAGCAATTTTTGGAAAACTCTCAAAATACACTATACTTATTTTAGAAAGGCCTCATTTTTATTTTATTATTTTTTTAAATTTTGTCAGCTAATTTACAGCCTTTTAATGCAGGATACATTTCATATTAAATTGAGGGAAGTAGAGAACTCAGATATTTTTTCCCTACCACCACCTCTTACAGCCCCTCATCCCGTGCTCTTAACCCCTTCTTAACCTCAGACCTCCCTAGATGTTTACTAATTATAATTACTATTAATCAGATTTTGTAAGTACTTTGTCAACTTGTCTGCTGTGCAAATATCTCCCTCGCTCTGACTTGCTTTACTCCACACCATTCCCCATCTGTACTGCTTCCATTCTGATGTAAGTGGCTACATTTCATCTGTCCTTATAGGCCAAGGACTATTCCATGGTGTGGATATGTTAGGGGGAAAAGGATGTCCCAAAGCAAATTCCATATAGGCTTTGTGGACTCCACCCCCACCCCAGGTCAAAGCCAAAGACACTGGGAACTCCAAATCCCATCACCACCAAAGGGAAGGTGGCTGGGACCTGAGGGTGGGGTTAAGCAGCCAGGTGGATACAAAAGGCAGACACGTGGGCTTTGGGGGGCTCTCCATTTTTGGCTCTCCACCAGCTAGCAGCGTCCGGCCAGCTCTGAGAGTGACTTTGGGTTTCCAGGTCGGCGGATCGGGTAGGACGCATTAAAGACTTTATTTCCCTATTTTCTCCCTGAGTTGTACATTTTCCTTATTTCTTTTTCTCTTGTAAAAAAACCTTTTATTAACCCTTTTGCGTGTGTCTGTAGTAGAGTATTCATAAGTCCCTTTAAAGCGCGCGGGTGAGGACCCACAGCCAGGAACCCGTTTAATATCGGGGTTGCTCTGTAACAGATAGACCACATATTCTTGATCTAGAATTGTCTCTTTCTAAATGAAATTAACGCCTTTGTCTTCTAAATTTACACATATACTTAATAATTAAGAAGTGTTTGTTAAATATATGCCATGGTCTCTGCAAGGTGAGTGGGGATACCAAATAGCACACATGCCTCAATTAGAAAAATCAACAGCAAATCAGTACAAACTGAACACACAACTGGCTTTCAGGCAGGGGGTGATTCATGTGGGTAAAAAAATTAAGATTTGTACTGAGCTGTGAAGGCTAAGAGAAGAACCAGCAAGAAAAATACCTGTAGAGATGACTCCAGAATTAGCCTTCAGTCAACATTTATTAGGCGCCAACTACATGCCAGGGCTGTCAAGTATACCTGAAGCACTGAAGACTTATTTTCCTCTGTTTCGATCACATAGGTGACAGCTGATCATGGCGCCTGATGTTTATTAAAGCACCTACTGTGTGCCAGGTACTGTGCAGTGTGAGCACCAGTGAGCATGAATGAGTGGGGGAGGGGCGCTACCATTTGCTCCTGGTTTTGCACATGGCTGGTTTCAATGCAAGATAAGCCACACTGAGATGGAAAAGTTCAAAAGATAATTAAACCAGTTAAAAAGCAAAACAGCAGTGGGACCAGAGCCGGGTTTCAGAGCCAATTTCCAAGAAGTAATTTCATCATCATAGAACATCAAACGTGAATTCCATTTTCAGTTATGCAAATTCCAAAAGAATAATACCTCACATTTGCATAATGCTTGATGCTTTTCAAAGTGTTTTCCCAGTTATTAATCTAGAGGAGGCTTTATTACCACCGGAAACATAAATTGAAATTCTGTTCAAACTCGACTTCTCTGTTATTTTTTTCTACTTTTCCCTCCGACACCAGAGCTACCTAAATCCAGGTGGTTTTGACTGAGTGGGTAACCGTAGTAAGTTGAGCTGACAGGGTGAATATACACTCAGGTGCAGGTTGGGGGTGTCTGTCGCCTGCAAACCCAGGCCTTGATCAAGCCAGCCTTCCGCAAACCTCCTGCTGAATCAACAAAAAACACAGGCAACTACCCTGCTCAGTGTCGACAGCCTTCTTTTTGGGGGTCTCAAACTTGGCGGGTGGCACTATGTGGGTTACAGACATCGCTTTCCCTTCTGCCAACTATTAGAAAACGAAGAAATGACTCCATCGGCTTGTTCTTAAACCTAGAAATCCCGGTCAGTGACAGACCCATATTGCTAAGCAGTTCCTCTTTCTTTTCTGTTTTCATGGTAAACCCAGCGCACAAAGGGGAGCTTAAGAAAACGAGGTGAGAAGATTGAGAAGATAGGGCGAGGCAAGGCGCAGCTTCTACCCAGAGCTTCCCAATATCTTTCCTTCTCCATCTCTTTCCAACTTAATTATGTGCAGATTTCTCAGTCACTGAATCACGGGGCTTTCCTGACACCTCACTCTCATACATTTTAGCAAAAGATTAACCTGGCTGTTTGCTTTTAATTCTGAAGCTGTGTTAATACTCAACTCCCTCTAGATTAGAAAAGAAGGAAAACACACTCCCACCTACCCCACCCTGGCCCCAGCCAGGCTCCAGGGCTGAGCTTCCTGACAACGTCGCCCTCATTGAAACGTGCAGCTGCACTTACCATTTCAGGAGGCCCAGGAGCACCACCAACAGAGCCACCGTCACCATGGAGCCACTCACTTCAATGTTGAGAACCCCCAAGGCTTCCATTGTACCACGGAGGGCCTGGGGGACCCCCTCCAGAGGAGAGAGGGAGGCTGGGGCCCTATCCTTACAGGAACCGTGACCTGAGGATGGAAGAAGAAGTAGGCCCCCAAGGCAGCATCACATCATGTGGGTCCCCAAAATGAGCTTGCTCTTTCTCAGAGTGTCTCCTTATAAAGAGGAAGGAAGAGGAGGGAAAGACAAAGGGTTTCCGTGTTGGGCAATGAATCAGCAACCTTATTTTCATGATGACTGTGCTGTCAATAAACATTTACGTGAACTCCCTGGGATGCAAGCAGACTGGCCCTATTGTTTGCTGAGAGAAAAAGTGGCTGCAACCTTAGATTTCTGTTCTGAGAAGTAGTTCTTTCAGGGACTCCTCTCATAAAAAAAAAAAATTTTTTTTTAACTCATGTCTAAATAAAGATATGGGCCTGGAGACTTTGAATATCCCAGAAAACTGGGCACTGGACAACAGCTTGAGGGAGAATGCTGGCTGCCTGGAGGTCTTCCTTCCCACCAAGTCCCTTAGCTCCTGGGACCTAATGACCCCTCGGGGTCAGAGCAGTTCTCGGTGACTGGCTGTGGAACAGACAGAAGACCTCGCCTGAGGTCACGGCGAGGTTGAGGGCCTTTGTTATAACTGTGCTTATCTGCCAAACGTCCAGGGAATCATTTTGGGGCGATTAGTCAGTGTATCACACCTTTAGTAACAGGAAGGGTGTATCAGAGGCAACACTCACTCGCCCTGACATCCATCCGTTCATTCCACAGGAATGGGGCAGACTGTGGGCCCAGTTACAAGCAGCATTCAGAAAACAGAAGAACCGGACTAAAAGAACTGGACTCTGGAGACTTTTCTCTGGGGAGAGACAGACCGTGTACAGGTAGACAGATAAATAAGTCACTGCAGGTTGAGAACAGCACTTGAAGGTCACAAACCTTGGCATTGGTGGGGAAAAATGGGGTGAGCCTATAGGAGAGGGTACAGGAAGAAAGCTTGAAGCTGTCTCAGTTGCAGGGTGGGGATGGGGGATCCATCATGAAAAGCCACAGGCAAAGACTTCTGTGCAAAAGGGGTGACCTGGATAAAGGGGATAAGATGGGACAGACCCGCACACATCTGGGGATTCAAAAGAGGCCAGCACTGCCAGGCCAGCACTGCCAGCCTTCGGGGCAGTAACCGGGCAAGTGGGGACGGGGGAAGACCCGCAGAGGCGCGACAGCCCTGAACTCCTTGGGGGTTTAGTGTGATCATATTATGTTTGTTAGAGTCATCCTAGCTGGAGGTGAAGAATTCACTAGAAGGAAGAAGAAACAGGGCAGGCCCTTAGACAGCAGGGCTCCTCCTGAGGGCAGGCTGCTCAGACTGGAGTCGTGCGGAGGTGGGTTGGAGCTGATGAGGGTGGAAGGTATTCTCAAGTTGGGGAGCAGACACCAGGATTTCTTAGTGGATTCGATGTGAAGAGGAAAGGGAAGGAGGGACCTGTCAGGCCCCCAGGACCCTGATTTGAGCTTTTTACTGAGCTAGGGAAGGTCGGGTGTCCTGGGTGTCCTGGGAAAAATCAAGAGTTCGGTTTTGGTCCTAAGTCTGAGATGCCGGGAAACACCTGAGGGGAGCCGTCAAGTTCCCTCAGGATATACAAATAAGGATGGATATATAAATAAGGGTCAACAATAATGACCTTCCATTTATGGGGTTAAAATATGTACTAGCTGTTGTGAAGAAGAATCAGGGTGTAGGCCAGAGGTGGTTTTGGGGCGGGGTGTGTGTGAAAGAATCACCAGCTGGAGTGGAGAACAGTAAAGGGGGGTTACTGAAATACCTGAAGGGAGAAGCAGCGAGTGAGAGGGGAAGGGTGCCTGTGCTGAAGCCCCGGGCTTCATTTATACTTGGTGGTCAGTGACTGACTAGGGTATCTGGCCTTGGGCGTGTCCTGACTCACCACCGGATTATCAGCTTAATGGGCCTGTTCCCATGGCACCCTCCAGTCCCCCTAGCCATTCAAGCTGCCCACACTTGCCTGCTGGGCGAGAGGTGGGGGCTTAGTTTCCTCTAGGAGTATTTGCATGCGTTAGCTCACCTTCGGGAACAATCTTAGTGGGTGAAGCTTATTGTTTTGTTTGTTCGTTTTTTTAAGATTTATTTATTTATACAAGAACTGGGGTACCGGCCAGAGATGGGGCGGGGGTCAATGAGAGGATTCACCAGACACAGAGTGGGGAGCAGAACAGGCAGAGGGACTGAAAACACTGCTGAGGGGAGCAGCGGGCGAGTCAGAAGAGGTCTGCTGTGGTGAAGCTTATTGTTATCCCCATTTTTTAGAGGAAATTGAGGCACTGCATGTCTGGCTCCAAAGTCCAAATAACCAGAAGGTTATCAATATGCAAGAGGATTAATACACAAATGGCGTTTAAATCCCGAGGCACAGATAAGAGAGTGAGCCACCCACCCCCACCCCCCACCCCCGCACCTCTGGCCTGTACCCCAGTTCTTGTATGCATAGATAAAATAAATCTTTTTAAAAAAAAACACAAGTGTCATAGAAATACGCTCTCTCAGGTCTCCCTGATGGTGCAGGGGCAGGTAACTTCCCCTTTCTCTGACCTTTTGTCCTGCCTCCCTGTTTCGCACCCCTGCTTAAATGGCCCCAACAGCTGCACCCTCTCTGGACTCCAGCGCCCCCGTGCTCCAGCCCAGCCCTTGCAGACATCCAGCCCCTCTCCGCGTCCTGTATCTTTGTTTCCTTCCATGGGCAGTGCTGAGACGGGAGCAGAAGTGTGCCCCCCTTCCGACCAAGCAGAACTGCCATTCAATGCAGGCCATCTGATGGGAGGCCACCCGCCCCGGGAGCCACTGTGTGGGGGTGCGCATGGAGGAGCGAGTTCATGGCCACGGATTCAAGGAGTCAAAGGACCTCGCCGCTGACACAGACCATTGTCTGTGTCAGTAAGATGCTCACGGGAACATCTTTTTTTAAAGATTCCAACAAGAAATAAATGTCAGAAGCGCTGGTGTGAGCACTGGGAAGCACGTTGCGCTGCTGCAGAGCTGGCGAGACCCAAAGCTGCCGGTGTGCGCGGCGAAGAGCGGGGCGCCCGGAACAGCATTTCTCAAGGGTTTCCCTCTGCAGAGTCTTCTAAAGGGACATTGAAGAACACATCCTGGATGCAGTGTTCTTAGGAACCGCTCTGGGAAGTGCTGGCCTGGCCCATCTCTCACGTACAGAGAGAGAATCGGGAGTTAGAAAAGGGAAGTGGCTGTCACGGAGCCCACGGCTGCCGGGTGCGAGGCCCAGGTCTCTCTTCTCCTCTCTGCAGCCTCTTCTGAAACGTGTCCTTGAGCCTCCTGGTGCGGGAGGAGCAGGCCCTGAACCTGGTGTTCAAGGACACACCCGGCGTGCGGGAGCCCAGCTGGGACCTCTGACTTTGCTGAGCTCCCCTGGAGGCAGAGCTGACTCTTGGCCCTGATGAATAGTCTTGGAGTCCTTCCTGCGTGAGTCATGAACACCGTGAGTGACGTGGAGGCGATCACACCCTCGCTTCACTCCCCTCAGCAGGGAGAGCGCAGAGAGTCGGGGAGAGTCAATTAACAGAGACGGAGAGGAGGTCAGAGCGGGAAGGTGTCATCGCGTCGCTTACACGGCAGAGAACGTGCCCCACGCTTGGGACATCGACGATGCCAGGCTGGGCCTGTCTGGCCGGGTTTACAGACGGCTGCCCTGATAGTTACCATAATTAAGCGTTAGGCCTTTAATTTCCCCCAGACATTTTCTTTTTAACAAGGTATCTATTGAAAGCAACTCTACAGAACGGTACAGAAAACATCCTGCTACCCCCAACTCCCAGAGACAAGCGCTGTTGGCAAACTGTACCTGTTACCAGGTGAGCGTGTCTCCTTCCCTCTCTCCCTCTACGCACAACAAACATGGCACCTCTTCCGTCTTGATGAAGACAAGACCATCACATCCCTGCCACCCTCACCTGGCCTTGCTCCCTTCCGGGTCAGGGAGGGCTGTGTCCATCCCCAGCAATGCTCATTATTTGCTACCTAAGAAGCAAGCGTGGACGTGATCCCTCGGTTAGCCTGTCCTTATTGAATCACAGTCACATGGTTTCCAAGTTTTCCCAACTACAGGGGAGGCTGCAGGGCGCATCCTGTCTGTGCGAGCCGCCTGGCCTTGTGTGAGGCGACGTTCTTAGAAGTAAAATTGTTGGACCCAAAGGCAGGCATTTCAGAATGCCAGGAGGTGCTTCCCTCCATCACGGCAATTTCGACTTTCTCCCTCGAGCTGTATGCTGGGGTGCTCCTGTCCCCAACTTGGAAGGACGCCCCGCAGAACTTTCCTTCTGTCTCAACCCGCTCCAAGTCTATCGTTTGTCTCCTACCTCCTGGCAGACACCTCCCCCAGAGTTGAGTCAACTGTTTTGACTCAAGTCTTGTGTTTCTTTTTAAAGCTTTCACTCCATAAATTCTGTGGTATTTCCTCCATGGTCTCTGTATTTAAAATCGGCCTTTGCAGATGTGGGAGTGGTGCCGTCGTCCGCTGGCAGAAGGGTCCCAGCTGGCCTGCGCCGGGCCTGGTGTCCGACGAGGCTGGATGCGTGGCGCCCACTGTCCACCACGCAGGACCCCCGCTCACCTGGCCCCATGGAAATTCATAGAATGTCTGATAGAACGTCACTGCAGCTTCAGAGCAGCCCTGGAGGCCACTTTCCTACCCTCAGTTCTGGGCTGAAGCACCTGGAGAAGGACTTTCGCTGTTCACTTCGCACCTTTCATCAATGCAAGAGGGTGGGCTCACGTGCCAAGCTTTGGACTTTACAGCCAGTGTTTTTTACTAAATCAAAATTTACATCTTGGCTTATATTCTCACAGTTCACCAAGCCAGCCCGTGACTGGGAGGAGTTTATCCTTGCGTTATCCCCTCTGGGACCAAGGTGGCTGCAGTTCAGGAAGATGGAGGCCGGCATGTGCCGGCGGCTGCCTCCCTTCCTGCAGAAGATAGAAGGCCCCTTTCAGGAGGTGGCAAACCTCAGCTACCCCCCACTC